CTCCAGTGACCACTCTTCAGATGGTTACTGGAGGTGCTTCCTGGGGCAGTGCTGCACAGTAGGCAGCACTGCTGTTCAGCGTCTCCACGCTGGCTCCCATCAACCTGAGCCACCACTGAGCCCCAGTGAAAGTCACCCTCCTGCACCTAAAAGGTAGGAAACCTGTATGTGTGTGTGTGTGTTTGCTTGTGTGTCTGTGTCTGTCTGTATGCGACTGTGTGTCTGTCGGGGGGGTTGAAAGGGAGAGGGGAGAGAGGGGGGGCCCTTGGATCAGTTTTGCACCGGGGCCCCATGGATTGTGTGTACGTCACTGCCTGCAACAAAATCTTAGGCAGATGTGGGAAGCAGACCTGGCAGGGCTCAAAATTGAAGTGCACGCAGTGACAGCATGCACCCAGGTGACTGACGACGAAACACTGAGGGAAAGGGTGCAACACCTACACTACACACAAGACACCCTGTCCAGGCAAGTCAACCTGCTGGAGGACAGGGGACGACCTAAAAACATCAAGATCAGAGGAGTCCAGGAGACCCTACTACTGGAAGAATTGCTTCACTTCATTAGGTGCCTGACGGCAGCTGAACTACCAGCAAAACAAGCCAAAACGTTGCAGTTTGATGGAGTATGAAGAATTGATAAATCCCCACAAGCAATAAATGCAGCTCCGCGAGACAACATCCTAAGATGTCAAACAATGACAGCACTCCAGGGAAAGACTCCCTTTGAATTTGAGGCCTGCCAACTGTCCTTTTATCAGGACTTAAGTATGGCAACACTATTCTGGCGCCAAAATATGCAACCAAACACTAAACCACTTCAAGCAGCAGGCATCGACTCCAGGGATCTTCTGGGTGACAAAAGACAGCTAGCACTACAAGGCCACAGACCCTAAACAAGGCCCAGCATTGATGGCAGCATTGGGACTCTCCAACAACGACGAGGCCACAGCGACACAGCTGAACACCCAACTGTGGAATGCGGACACCACAGGGGTCTCCATACCCAGAGAGAGAAGAGGCACCAAGACCTGACTTTACCTTCCCTACTTGCAGCCTAATATCTGTATACTTATTTACTAAGTCTTGTTAGGGAAACCTAACCTGCAAATGTTTTTTTTGTTTTTGTTTTTTAACAGTTGCATTTTAAGTTGCAATTATCAAACATGCAGACAAGCAGTCCAAAAATGGCCCCACTTGTCTGCTCCGGTGGGTAACAGGGTATTAAAAGCGACAGAGCCATGGTATAGACTTATACCCTTTAGGTCCAGCCCAGCTGTATAACACAACCAGAGCTCCTACACAATTCGACTCGAACCAGGTCACAACTACGAATAGCTGTCACCATTATTATGACTTATCCCTTTACACACAGCTTATGCTCCATGGCCACAGTTAACACACATCACGGGCGCAGGCCTCTGGTCTATACGTGACCCTCTGAAAGAGAGCCACATTAACTCATCAGACAAATACTGCCCATGCATAGGGCGCCCTAGAGCACACTCACAACCTCCAGCCCTCGATACAGAGCTGAGCTCGGCTACTACAGTAGGATAGTTTACCCGACGCTACATACTTCACCAACCCTATGGCTCTTGCCTGTATGCACTGTTCCATGAACCGGGGTGTCCCAGACCCTTAATATGTTATTAGTTCAAAATCTCGTTATGCCATATCAGCCCAGAATAACTAAAAAATGTGTGCGAAATGTATCTTTACCATACCTTGTAAGTGCTAAGTAATATTTCCAACAGCATGTGTCTACTGTTGTGCATTAAACACGTATGAATGTTTAATGCTCACACGAAAATAAAGAATAAAAAAAAAAAAAAAGGGCGGATATTAATATGTATGAATTAAATATGGATTTGCATTTAATATTAAATAAAATTTAACTTAGAAAATATGTAAGAACTATTTAAACTGCTTTGGGAATAATTTATAAACAGAAATATACATAATTGCAGATGTTCAGCTACTTAAAGAAAGCTGAAAATAAAATATATTAACACAAAGAGCTAACTAGTTACTTATCATTAAATTATTATTTTTTTATCACCCTAAATATCATCAACTACAATGTAATCATGAAGAAAAACTATTATTATAATTTATAGCCTGAGCTGCTTGCAGGACATCATTACTTAAAATAAAACTGTAGGGTCAAGAAAACAAACATGTATTCCTGACCATATAGTGTTAAAAAACACAATGTAGGTGACTTAGCCCCCTTAGAAGGGGTTAAAACTGCCCTAATTTCCAGAACAATGCAGATCCGCCAGCGCTAGCCTCGCCCCCGATCCGCCTCCTTGGTGACTTAATAATTTATCATTTTTAGCCAATCCAATGCTTTTCCATAGGGCAGGGGTGGGCAATCTGCGGCCCTACAGATGTTTTGGACTACATCTCTCATAATGCTAGCAAAGCATCAAGGGAGATGTAGTCCAAAACATCTGGAGGGCCGCAGATTGCCCACCCCTGCCATAGGGAAAGCAGTGGATTGGCTGAAATCAGCAAGGAGGCAGGGACAATCTGCACCTCCTCATAGAGATGTATTGAATCAATGCATCTCTATGAGGAAAATTTTGCGTCTCCATGAAGAGCGTGGAGACGCTGAACAGCAGTGCTGCCTACTGCGCAGCACTGCCCCAAGAAGCACCTCCAGTAACCATCTGAAGAGTGGTCACTGGAGGCATCCTTTGGGAGCAATGTAAACACTCTTTTCTCTGAAAAGGCAGTGTTTGCATAAAAATGCCTGAAGGAAATGAAGGAAATACTCACCAGAACAAACACAATAAGCTGTAGTTATTCTGGTGACTATAGTGTCCCTTTAAAGTTATGAAACATAATGCTAGCCAATCTATCTACACATAAATTCAGCCTTGTAACCTAAACCTAGAAAAGAGGGAAAAAAACTCTTTACAATACTAAACAACGGTGCTGCAGAACATATTTGAATATTTTTATACTTTTAATTCTTTTGTATGAAAATGCAGCTGTTAGGGATAAACATTTAAGTGAAAGGGGGCAATATGGCTATAATCACTGCCTTACTATAATCATTGCTGAAAGGATAAATGCTGTTCTGGACTCAACTCCCCTCGATTCTCGATCCCCCGTCACCACATCAATTGATGGGAGATCTTGTTTGGCAAATAAGACACACAGACACGAAAGAGTGCTCAACAAGTTCTCAATGAGTATATTTTCAGGGCTAGCATTTATACACAGTTTGTCATGCAAGCAGTGAGATCTATAGTGTCCTTGTAGTTAATAGTACATACTTGTCGGACATGAAAAAGATAAGCATTTGGATAAAGACGAGACAGGAACATCCTAAGGTCAAGGAAGGTCATACATCCTGTAGACGAAAGACCTTGGTACAAAATACATCTGCCAAAGTCAGCATAATTATTTCAAACATTATTTTAAAGCAAGAAAGAGTTTAACTATTTCATATCCTTACAGTCAGTACTAATGATTATAAACCTTATCTAAGCATAAAATACATATGAACAAGGAAAGTTAACTATTTCAGCTTTCATCCCCCCTCTTTGAGCAATACACTTGCTCATATCATTGATAAGATCTTCCCAGGACAGAGACACTTCCACATTATGGCATTCCCAAGCAATCATGTGGTCTACAAGAAAGAGAAACTAAGCAGGAAAAAAGACACTTAATACTTTTACAGACAGATATATAGAAAATTTATGTTTAAGACAAAATGGAACTTGGGCTTATAGCAAATATATTATTGCAAATAGCTGACATGTTAACCAATTTTAAACAGACTAACCAGCCTGTCATCTGTATCGTAATCCCTGGGTAAATATGGGCAAAGTGTATTATTCCCAACAGTTATTTTCCTCTTTTGTCCACGGAAGTGGGCGCATATAGTCAAAGTGGGAATAATACCTATCCCCCGTTCAAGGACCGGGGTCTAGGATTACCAGTCCACCCGATGATCTGGGGCCAGGCAAAAAACCCAGTGGCAAAAACTCATATTTGAGGAAAAAGCACATCTGGGGAAAACCTGAGTGGGGGCCGCGATCGTGTTAGACATGTCATCCCCTCACAGTTGACACCACTTGTGACTTATAATACCCGCACCTGTGAGTACATAGCTCGGGTATCGGGAGGAATTGGGAAACACTTCTTACATATTAATTCATGAGATAAATTATAATCTAGCTTGAAATTCTGACAATAATAACCAGGACCTTGCGTCCTATATCTTTTAACCATTTCCCTATTCCAAAGGTCGAGTCAAAACCAGTCATATCCTCACGCAGTTCCACAAAACATGGGAATCCATCCTGGCACACTCAACATATATCAAAAACACACATAGTACAGCTAACTCTGGGTCAGCTAACACTTCCTCTCTCTCTCCGGCTAACTCTACAAAAGTAAAAATAAAAATAGTTCAATAGTTCAGCATAGTTCAGAAAAATAGAATAAGTCTTTCACAGAGTATAAATAAATCAGTTTAGACACCAGACATTTTGTTCCATAAAATGGCTAAGGGTAGCAATATGGCTGACAACAAGACAATGTCAGCTTCCAAATAGTTCTTCTTTTGTTTGCTGGATTTTCACCACAATGCTCTGTGCAACACCCCAATGGTTGAAAGGGTTATTACAGAACCAGCGGTATTAGACAGCACTGCACCTTCAGGACTTTCCAGGTTCTTGCGTGCAAAGTTTATGTCCTCATAAGTATCTCAGTTTCTTTGGCCTGCATGGATAATGACCAAACAGATGTAATTGCAAAATACTTATTGCATGGTCAGCCGGAGAGATTGATGTGTAGTCCCAGAAATCAGGTGGCACAAACACTCCAGGACGGTCTCTACAATCATACAAACACAAGGATCAATACAACATCATTAATTAATTACCTAGGCTAAACTCAAATTAGAGACTAAAGTTAAACTCTTAACTAGTGTAACATGTACTTCTCTCAGTTTTGCTTATAATTCATTGAATTTGTCCTTTATAAAATTTGAATACATAATTTCCCTTTAGAATGCCTTGTATGGATGAGAGAAGCACTCACTCTATAGAAATGTTTGTTAGGATGAATATTAAAACACTAACATTTGCATATACATTCCCAATAAAATTTTGTTCCTAAACTTGAACCTTGATTTGATAATCTCAATTAATTACTTAAATAAAATTGGAATGCTGAAGTCTGTCAGTTTTGTGGACCCTGATAACCTCTTTGGAAACCAGTGGCCTCTGATAAGGAAGGGACAGCAAACTGTAGACATATGTTATATTAAGTTGCCCTCACTTGTCAGGTCTTGGAAACACACTTATTTTATTGCAGATGCCTCTAGGATACCACGTTACATATTGATTAAGCATACTTATTATCCTATTTTAGTTATTTCACATTGCGCAGCCTATGCAAACAATGTCTAGGTCCCAACTTCAGCTTGTACATCCTCTAAGAGCCAGTATTAATACTGTTTTATCTATCAAAACTATATATAAAGTATTAAAAACATGAACCATCTGTGTATTAGGCTGAGGTTGTTGGGTGTGGGTATAGCTTGAAAGTTATGGTTGGTATTGAGGAACCTGCCAGAGTGGGAGTCCTTAAATGCCAGCTGGGCCAGGTTCTCCCCTAGCACCGGGTTCTCCTTTGTCTCCTTGAGCACCAGGTTCACCATTGTTACCCTTAGGTCCAGGGGAACCTTTGGGGCCCTGAGGTCCAGGAGCACCAGGGAAGCCAGGGACACCATCAATACCAGTGGGGCCAGCTTGACCAGGAGAACCGGGTTCACCTCAAGCACCTTGGGGTGAATCCCTGCTATCCACAATTAAAACAGTGCTGAAGTTACCACCTCTACAAAAGTTAGAAACTTTGACCAAATCCTCTACCTTTGCCTTTAAAACTTTTCTGATTCAATCTCCTATCACCTCCCAAATTTCTTTGTCTCGCCTGCTTAGGATCACAATCCTTGTGACTGCTACAACATACCTTTTCCTTCTTTCTTTCTATCAAAACAACCTGCTGTATCTTTCTCATGAATCTTCCCAAGAAATTCATTTGGGGTCAAAAAGGGCCAGTCACAGACCAGCAAGGAACAAAAGTGAACAAGGAGGAAGCATATTCTATATGCAGGTCGGGATTACCGAACTCACACCCCCTCTTTGTGTACCACACAGATATAATATTAATAAGCTTTTAAACGTTTAATGGATAGTTAAATTGTGTATAAAAAGCAAGGTTGTCTAGGGGTATATACATCGACAATGAAAGCATAGCCTTCATATAGGGCTTGAAATACTGACAGTCTGTGTCATGAGCATAATGCAGACATGCGGTTAGGTACTTTTCCATTGTTATAATATATTGAAAACACTAAGACTTTGCAAAAAATTTTAAAACACATATTGCTTCCTGTACCTGAGGCCGTGCAAGGATGTAGTTAGGATATATTTCAAATTGAGTATCAAAAGTTTAACCACAAAACTATATGTTATACACTTCTTAAGAAAACAAGTTTAACCCGTTAGTGCGTACATTGGATAGCCTCTTTGCATAATTTGGCTCCTAGTGAGATTATTATATTTATCCTCTTCTGGATCTGCAAAATGCTTTCACTTTACCGATACAAATATAATACAGTAGTTTAGGAGATTAAGATTAACTCACTTATAAATTTCCGAAATTGTCTAATCTCCAATAAAAATACCATGTTATTATTACCCCATAATCAATGAGGCATTCTAGATGAATCTTACTTTGACACAAACAATGCAATATACTTTAAAAGTAGAGTTAACTCTGAGCTGGACAATACTCCCCTATTAGAACTCCTTTATGAGGGAGAGACATCTTGTCCATTCAATCCTTTTTATCAGTAAAAGAATGACTTTCAGGATTAATCAATTTGCAAATGGAAATGAAGAGCCACGATTTGAACAGCAGAAGTTTGCGGGGCCCCTTTCACGTGGGATGTAACAAGCGCTTTTCTTGCTCCAGGAGCGATAGCATACAATTGTTTCATTCTAGCCGGCTGGACAGCATTTCACCTTTTGTAAAAACACTAAATGCTTGCGTTAATGATATGCAAATTACTCTGCTAGTTAAACTCCTACACAATGGACAATAAAATACATGAAACACATAACACACCAATTCATTTCAAACCATATAACTCATACTCAGCATCCAATGTAATATTACATGTCATCTCACAAAACAGACGTAGTAGATACACGTATCGGGTACCCAGCAGATATGCCAATACAGGAAACACATTCATGGGCACGCAACTACACACTCTGTGTCCCTCCTAGGAAACACGGGTAGACACAATATGAAAGCAGTCTTAAACTAACACCTCCAAATCTCCATTCCCATATAGCTATACCAGACCACAACACAGAGCCTCTCTGAGCTCATAGAACTACTCCAACTCAAACTACTCTTGGCCAAAACGCTAGTATTCAACAGCTAATAAAACAGTTATTTGCTAGGTTATTTGGCTGGCATTTGTATCAGTATCACTAGACTGAAACAAACTGATTCAAATATAATTTAAAACAACACAGCAACATATAAATTAAACCACTCTCCAGTTAAGCTGCACACTTCACACATTATCACAATCACCATTTACACAGAATAAACAGTTAACAGCTGTACTCAGAACATATTATTGTAAGGTATACCAATTTTAGTTTGTATTAGATTTATTTTACTAATTCTTATGCATACATGTTTTTTTTTTTGTTTGTTTTTTTTTCTAATTAACGTCATTACTTTAATCTACTACAGTATTGTATATAAAGAAAGGATCCATTTATATAGCGCGCTCATAACTCAAATATTTGTCTTAAACGTCCATTAACTAATCTGAGATGATGCTGCATCAATTTTAAATCTTACAGAAATTTTGCAAACATCTGGACCAGATTACACAGACATGGTTTCACCCGAATCTTTCAGAACTCTCAGAGACTTAAAAAAATTTATACTATACCATGTTTTAAAGGCATGGCAAACCTTAGACCGGTCAGTCTCCAAGAGCCTTTGTAACACAGGTAAAAACCTTTGTCCATGAGCTCTGATCCAGGCTATATACCACAATTTAAAAGAACACATATAATGTGAGACATAGAAGACACAAAACATATGCAGTAGCTGAATCATTTAAAGCATCTGTAGCAATAAAAAGGTTAGCTTTCAGCACAAAATGAAGCATGTGTTGGACCGCTGAAAATGTAAATGTTGCTCTCTTATTTACAAACAAATCATATTTACAGTATGGATCCTTTGCAACAAACACACAGGGCAGGGAAGATGTGCTGATTGGTGTTCTATACAATTAATCCCATACGGGGAATTAACTTTCAAATACTAATGAAGTGACTTTTTGTCTCAGTTATAAAAATACTGAGCTCATCATGCAAACAATGCAACACATTTACACTATCCCACTCTCATAGAAAGTGTAGTGGGCTTATGGTATTAAAGTAATAATCATACCAGGCACACAGATCCTATGTGAAATAACTTACAAACTATACTTCTATGCGACATAAAGAATAAAGCAAAAGATTTAAGTAGATCTATCAGGTAGAACCTGCGAGTCAGTTCTTTTCTAATATACAGTACTGGTATCTTTTATATATATATATACATATATATATATACATATTGGTCACTCAGGACCTGAACTTACATTTCCCATACTGCTGACTCAGGGCAGACACACTACTAACTTACCAAAGTGTGTCCCCAATACAGACAATAACCCACAAAGAACACTTAAGACAAACAAAGGTGACCAGGAGAAAGAGAAGTTTGGGGTATACTTATAGATCTTTAAACTGTGCTCCTCAGAACACCTATAATCTTAATAAACCGGAGACCTCTTATGGTCTCAAAACCTGTATCTACCTGAGATACCCTGTATCTATCTTAGATACTAACCTGGGTTACCAAAACCCTATAATAAACCGGAGACCTCTCATGGTCTCAAAAACCTGTATCTATCTTAGATACTAACCTGGGTTACCAAGAACCCCTATATATATTTAGACCAAATGTCTAATAAACCAGAGACCTATTTACAGTCTCAATATAACTAAAGTCCTTATACCTTTCCTTTCTACTGGATACAGACTTACTGAACCAAAGGGGGTCATAGACAATTAGCGTCAATAAGACACAAAAAGGCTACTCACCCAATGGTTTTGCTGATCCCACTTCTAGACACCAAGCTGAAAGGATAAATGCTGTTCTGGACTCAACTCCCCTCGATTCTCGATCCCCCGTCACCACATCAATTGATGGGAGATCTTGTTTGGCAAATAAGACACACAGACACGAAAGAGTGCTCAACAAGTTCTCAATGAGTATATTTTCAGGGCTAGCATTTATACACAGTTTGTCATGCAAGCAGTGAGATCTATAGTGTCCTTGTAGTTAATAGTACATACTTGTCGGACATGAAAAAGATAAGCATTTGGATAAAGACGAGACAGGAACATCCTAAGGTCAAGGAAGGTCATACATCCTGTAGACGAAAGACCTTGGTACAAAATACATCTGCCAAAGTCAGCATAATTATTTCAAACATTATTTTAAAGCAAGAAAGAGTTTAACTATTTCATATCCTTACAGTCAGTACTAATGATTATAAACCTTATCTAAGCATAAAATACATATGAACAAGGAAAGTTAACTATTTCAGCTTTCAATTGCTTTCTAGGAAAGAAAGTCTCCAGAGCTTGGATAAAATCACTGCAGCCTGTTCCTGTCAAAGTGGTCCTCAGAGACCACAGTCAAGCTTTTGTGATGGAATTCCAGTAAAATAAAAGTTTAGCAGGCCAGGATTGCCACAAGGCATATGTAGGTACATGTGTTTGTAGTATCAGTTAGTTAGTTACACGTAGCTAAGATACTGTCATCACTGTACTGAGCATGTGCAGGAATGCAGGAACTGGAATTACGCGTCCCTCTCCTTTGTTTCAGATGAGCCACGTGGTTAGACCGGATGGATGAGTTTAGACTCTATTCATTGATTAGGTTAAGGGTATGTGTGGGCGTAGCTAATTATGGGAGGAGCTACAGTGCTATATAAGGAATGTACTCTATGTATTCAGTGCTCAGATCTTTGCTGTTTTTGGTGACATAAGTCCCTCTGAGTCCCGGTCGGTGAATCGAATAAAGATCTCTTCCTTCCTGAAGAAATCTGTGTCCATCTCTCTGTGCTTGGCCTCCGTCAGTTTCCCGGTAACATCTTTG